AGCAAAAACAAGTTTTATAAAATTTATCAAACTTTAACTTTGAATATTTTTTAAACGGTTGAATTTATGAAAAAATGATAAGAGATCTTTTTTGTAGAGCGGTAAATTTACTACAAAAATCTATGTGGTGCAATGCTGTATTACTATTTGTTAAATAGTTATAAATTTTTTTCTATTTTACTAAATAAAAAATAAAAAATTGCGATGAGCGACCTGTTAATATTAATATTAAGAGCTCAAACTTTAACAGGTATCTTATTTTACCTTCCTGTAAGTATATATGCTATTCGTGAAATGAAAAAAAAGTTGCTCCAAAATGACACCCTAGTGATTACATAACATATATCTCTTTATTTATTTAAACTGAAATATATTAAATTTAAAATATTTTATAGAATATTTCTAGATGTGAAAATGATCTGAATACACAAGGTGAATCTGCATCAGACATATCCAAAGAAACAATAGAACAAATACAAGACAAAGAAGTCGAATCTCAAAAAATATTGGAACAAAATGAAAACGCAATAGTAATAGAAATACAAGATTCCGTGGCTTATGAATCAAAGGATACCGATATTAAAAATGTGTATTCCTTAGTAAGATTTTTTGAAATATCAACTTTTTTTTAAACTTCAGTAAAACGTAGCATAATTTGAAATTATAATACTTTTCATAAATACGTATTTGATTTTGTATTACATAAAAAAACATGTTTATATAGTTTTTCTTATTCTTACAAATCAATACATCATTTATACATCTTTTTAGGATTATAAAAAAATTTTGGAAGAATCTATAGATGGAAGAATTATTATTGCTAATTATAAAAAAGAAATAAAACTTAACAGACAATTACGTTCCAAACTTGTTGACGTAATTGTAACGAAATTAATGTCTTTGTTCTATAGTGACAAACAAGGGTAAGATAATATTTTAGAAATATTTTTATTTAGTTAATTTGATAAAGAAAAATAATTTATACATTTATAAATAAACTAGGATATCTCTAAAAAACGAACATTTTGAGTTTATTGCAACTCAAATTGCAAAAATATTTCCTACTGAAAATAGCAGTATTTATTACGTTGCACCTAAAACTGAAGGGCCTCAACAAAAAATTTCTAAAGGAAAATTAGTGGATTCTTATAGAAATAAACTGAGAGAATGTCGAAAATGTGGATTAATAAATAGGAAAAGAAAGAGATCTCAGGACGATGAAGAAATAGAAGAAGATGCAGAGTCTATTTCTCAGGGTACATGCATAATTCATATCACACACGTGCATA